ACACCGGCAAGAGCAAAACCACAGGGATTGTCTTAACAGGGCGGACGTGTCGGGAGGAGCGTATCTTCTTCCCAGCCGCCTGCCACCTTCTCCTGTCCCCGCTCCCCCCAGCGTTACAAGACAGTATTGGACATGAAAATCAAGGTTCATTCTGCCACCAATAGGCAGGCGCAGCAATGCGGAGCTTCATTCACTCCAATTTATCGTTTTAAAATAACACTTCGATTTAAAAAGGACAACAAACCCAGGCTACCTTCTAAAGTAACCCCCCAAATGTAATGTTTAAGGCTGCAAAGTCCTACGAAGTCTCCATGCCCGCCTCTTCTCAAAAGCACTCACCGCACCAGCAGCTGCCAGCAGCCGACCAGCGCACCCAACAGCCTTGGCCGGCCGAGCGTTCACGTGCAATTAGCAAATATTTGACAATTATTTTGCTATGTTTGACGTTTTTAACTGACTCCCAATCTCCATGACTACGTTAACAGCCCCTGAAATCCTCGTTAAACACCTAACAGCCTCAAATATCTTCATATGCCCCCAGCATCAAATCAGTGTCTCACCGAATTTATTCCTCCTTTTCTCTCCAGAAATTCTCCTGCTCAGAGCACTAAAGCACCGAGAAACTGGAGACAGAAAATAAACCATTTAAATACGCTCTTAAGTCTCACAGAAACTGTACAAATCCAGAGGGGATTTGAAACCTTTCCAATTCCCCCCCCCCAAATCAGTAGCTACTAAAATACTTTGCTGCTTCAGGAGCCCCTGTTGCAGGAGACTAAGCTGCATTTTTAACGTTTGCAATTATTTCCTTTTATTGCCACAAATTTTGTTTTTTTTGGTCAAATTAAAATGTCTTTCTTCCTGAAAAACACACGGCTGTTCTCATCTACCAAGCGTTTTTACTTATTGCTTCAATAGTAATAAGAACTCCCCCGTTCTAGGGAAAAAAAAGCAGAATTCTTCCGTAAACTTTAATGCCGTAATAGTCCTTGCCCCACAGAGCCCAAGGCACCCCCGTTTTTCTCTGTGTTTCCCCCCCATTTTTCCCTTTGACAGCTGCCAAAGACCCCCAGCACCCCCACCTCTCCTCCTCCAGCAGAAAGGCTGGGATGCAAGGCTGGGGTGAAGAGGGAGCACGGCCCTCCTGCAAAGCAGCAAGGAGGTCAGCCCTGGCGGGGGCTGCTTCATCCTTTCACACGCCAAGAGCTGCCCCGGTTGTTCCTCCAGCTCTTAAAGCCCCAATTTTCCTAAGCATATGCCCAAGCTTCCCCCCCGCCTTGGCACGTGGCTTTGGGTTGTGCTAGCAGACCAGCCACGTAGGGCTTTGACGGACAGAAGTAGCCCGAGAGCATGGAAATAAGGTCAAGGGGAGGTTTAGATTGGATGTAAGGAAAAATTGCTTTACTGAAAGAGTGGTTAAACATTGGAACAGGCTGCCCAGGGAAGTGGTTGAGTCACCATCCCTGGAGGTATTTAAAAGACGGGTAGATGAGGTGCTTAGGGACATGGTTTAGTGGGCATGGGGGTGTTGGGTTGACGGTTGGACTCGATGATCTTGGAGGTCTCTTCCAACCTTAATGATTCTATGACTCTATGATTCTAAGACACTTAAGCCCATTTCCAAAAGTCTAGTTCTTGGTCCGTTTTAGAACAGCGCACAAAACACGAAGGGCAACTTGACTGTTCTGGCTGACTGCACGCTTCTGCTCAGGTGTGACCCACCCGTGACGGAGCCGCACCTCCGCCCGCACGCCGGACCCCGACTAAAGCCGCGCTGCCGGGCCAGGCGGCCCCGGATCCACAGCCTCACCTGCTTTGAGGACGACGCATCGCAGAGCGATTTAGGATCTACCGAGTGGATCAGAATTTGGATCACGCACAGGCTTAAAATCTCACCTTGCTTTGCCCAGTGCTGCGTTGGTACCAGCGTCACGCTCAGTGCGTCCAAGCGGAGACCAGCTACAGCCCAAGCCGCTCTATCCCCTAAATACTGCAACCGAGGAATATTTTGGTACTTACTCTGCATTTTATGAGTAGATCTCAGAAGGATCTGACCGATCAGACTCATCATTTTTGTGGATTCCTTTGTCAGAGCGTAGAAGTTGTTATCCAAACATACCTGCTTGGTTAGTTTTGGGGATGCGTCGGTTCTTCAGCCATTCAGCCCCCAAAGCTGGGCT